GTGTGTACATGCCCAAGATCCCGAGAGGAGAATGGAGGAGAAGGGATTGCAGCGTGACCATCCCCCCTGGGGGGTGATTTCTCACTTTCTGTCTCTATGTCTCTTTCTGTCTGGCGAGCACACGCGCCCTATAGCGAAAAACCTCTCCAAAAAAAAAAAAAAAAAAAAAAAGACAGAGGGCAGGAAATGGACCTGAGGTCCTCTTCAAACCCTACGAAAGGTCCAGGTGCCCTAAATAGAAGGGGAAGAATAAGAACTGGAATTATCCAATTTGTTCAAATTTACCTGATAGTGGCCAAATTATAACAGATAATTTAATTAGAAGTAAATTATTCAGAATGGTCAATTTGCATTCTCCACATCAGCAAAGGTAAGAGATTGTGAGCTAAAATAATTTGATTAATGATGAAATAAATACGGAGACACTTCTGCATCCATGTTTGCATATGGCTTATCTATTACACAGTTTCAATTAATACCATCTGATAAAGCACAGATATCATTCTCTTTTACATAAGATATATGAAAATGTACATTGTTTCCATTTGTTGATCAATTTTCAGAAATTCACTTTCAGGAGAAGTGAACTGCAATGGCATATAGCTTGTATTTTGGATATAAAGATGAAGACTGAGTCGGAGAGTGAAGCTCAAAGACTCAGTTCTTACCCAATCCAGTTAAACATCCTTACAGTCACACTGTGTGAAAAGTAATTTGTTAAAATATGAAAAAGTCAAATATCTGTCTATTTTTTACACACTTCAAAGTAGATGAAAATGCATGAAATAAATTTTTGATGTAATAAAATGTTATTTTGTGTTGAATATTTATCAAAACTTATGTCAATTTGAAGGTATAAAGTCCTTTCTAATGTTGGTGCTCTCTATCCTACAACATATACTCTTCTTATAATGCTGACAAGAAACTAACTTTCTTTCATATTTCATATCAAACATACAGGGTTATCTAAATGTGTTGAAACATTAGATATATTTTAATAGTATTCTTAGAAGATAAAATTAGAAAATGTTTCATGATATACAAGACAAGTCAATTTTGACAAAAGGATATTTTTATATGTTGGTCAAGAAATATATAAGCTCTATTAAGACCTAGAATGTTATTTAAATCATAGAAGTTAGGGAGAAAAAATAATAGAAAATAGTAAAGAATAAAGAGGAGAGTATGTAGCACTAAGAATATTCAGATACTGGTTATATCTAGAGAAGTCTAAGAAATTATGGCATATAGTCAAATAGCTAGGAAATTTATTTTATCCAGTTATTCAGACAGAGTTATACACAATGAAGTGGCAAATTAGCAATAAAACCATAAAAATAATGTCACACAACTCTCATAAAGGAAAAAAAGTGAGTCTACCATCCTTAATTAATATATAGCACAGCCTGTTTCAATAGTATTTTAACATCAGAATACCCATGATTATATAATTACAGGAAAACAAAATAATGGAAAGTTTCTATGATTTCAAGTACAGCTTAAATACAAAATCAATGATCTTTGGAAAAATAACTTCAGGTTAACTGTGACTCTCAGATAGGGTTATTAATATCAGAAACAGATTTCTTGAGCCAGCTGCATGGAAATCTACGGCGCTGCTCCAGAGAAGCCTGAACCCACATGGCAGCTACTATTCCAATCTCTAGCATGATCAAGCTGGAATTGGCTGGAAATTGTGTACAACCACTCAAGATTCAAGGTACTGAAGAGCAATTGCAGTATGGTGACACCCTGGGAAAGCTACTCTGCTCTCCTTTTTTTCTCCCTCATCAGGGAACCTGTTTCCTTACGATTAAAGGAAAAAAAAAATAAAATAAATAAAAAAGAGAGAGAGAAAGAGATTTTAGGTGGAATGGCTTGTTTAGTGGTTAAGACAGCCAGATCCCCCATGGTCAAACACTGAATTCAAGTCCTAGACCCAACAGCTTGAGAAACATGCCAGGCATGTATGTATGCATGCTCAAAAATTCCAAAAGAGAGAGATGGAAGAATGTATGTGGCATGTATTCATCATGTGGGTGCTTTTTCCTCTCCCTCTTTCTCTACCTTTCTGTCTTTTCTGGCAAGCACCTATGCCCTCTACCAACAAGAAAAATAAATAAATAAATAAATAAATAAATAAATAGGGGAGAGAGGAAGTGAGATTTCTTAAGTGACTTTAAGACAGAACCAGGCTTATTCTTGAGTACTTAGAATAAGTTGAAGGAAGCCTGGGGAAGGACCGTTACTAAGGAGCTCAGGTATCTTATGGTGTACTTATTACTTACTTCTCTTCATTATGCAGTCATTATATTCCTAGATCTCTCTCAGAAGTTACATCTTCTCTTTCATTTATTCTTTGTCATAGTCTCTCAACTAGCTTTCTCTACACAATCAGCTTACAATTGCGATTGCCAGTTCAGTTTACATTTGATGTTTTAATTAAGAGTCATATATTGACAAGGGACCAGCAGATGGCATAATGGTTACATTGTTAGACTCCCACATGGCTGACCAGGGTTCAAGTTCCAGACCCAGTCATTTGGAACTCACACCCCGTGAGTGTGTTTGCATGCACAAAATCTGTAGAGGAGAAAAGAGGAGAAGGGATTGCAGTATCTCCTCTGGAGAGGTGATTTCTCACTTTCTCTCTCTGGTAAACACACATGCCCTAGAGCAAAAACATTTAAAAAAAAGTCTTACATTGACTTGATAGTTTACATTGACTTTAATATTTACTCAAAGCTCATGTTTGAATTCATATTTATTTACTTTTTAAATGTTTTTGCTCTAGGGCATGTGTGTTTACCAGAGAGAGAAAGTGAGAAATCACCTCTCCAGAGGAGATACTGCAATCCCTTCTCCTCCACTCTCCTCTTGGGATTCTAGGCACGCACACACACACACACACACACACACACACACATGCTTGGCATGATTTTCAAGCTGTCAAGTATAGGACTTGAACTGCATGTGAGAGTGCGTACCTTAACCACCACTCTACCTGCTGGTCTCCTCAGTTTATATTTCTAAGAAAGGAAATCTGATTGGCTGAGCTTACCTCTACCCAAACTATAGTTTGGCCAACCATTTAATCAATGACCATTGTACTACAAAGAACAGGCTACTGTTCTCAACAGTCTGTGGGAGATGGGAACCTTGAATGTGTTTGATTGGCAGGGCATGAGGTAATAAGGGGATAAATTGTAAACATGTATGAAATCCAGAATATGAATAAGAAAAAAGCATAGCAAAGGATTTAGGTGTCTGTGTTCTGCAGTCAGATTGTGCAGTTTAAATCACAGCTCCACACACTGAATTCAATCTTCTTAGAACTTCTTAGAGAGCACCTTCATAAACTACTCATAATAATTAAATAAGACAATTTACTTGTTGGTATTAAATAATTATTCAGCACATATTAAAAACACACAAGAAGTAAAGGTACCCTTTACATAGAGGTCAAATAAAAGAAGCAAGAGAATTTAAAGGCACAAAAAGAATCTGAGATAGAGAAAACAAAAAATTGATGAATTTTCTGATATATGATTCTACTTTATGGTAAAATAAATTTTGGCATATTGTTAAATATCTAGTGATCTTAGTTTCCTATGATGATAGTGCTACTATAGAAATATTAAGGGTTAACTTAAATAAAAGGTGCCTACAGCAGAGCAAGTCTGAGTCATTATTTTTTTTATTTTTTGGCTATAGGGTGTGAATTCTTACCAGAGAAAGACACACCCACAACCACCCACACATAGAGAAAGTGAGAATTCACTCCCCAGAGGGGATGATCACAACACAATCCCTTCTCTAGTTTCCTCTCTGGATTTTTGGGCATGCAGGCACATGCACCCATCTGACATGTTTTTCAAGCAGCTGGGTCTAGAATTTGAACCACATATTAAGCCACGTGGGATCATGCCACCAGTTGGCCCTTTGAGTTACATTTAAAACTACTTTCATATTGTGCAAAATAATAGTATTATAAACAACAAAAATAATGATTTTCAATACTGAATGAAGTTTTGCCACATGCTGTGGCCTGCCTTAAGTTCTTTTTATGGATAAATTAATTCAAGCCTAAGAATTTATCCCCCCATAGGGGACATATGCTTGCTGAAGAAAGACGAGAAAGACTAAGCAGAAAAAATGAGAAATCACCACCCAAGGGAATGACCACGCAGCAATGCCTTCTCTTCCACTCTCCTCTCGGGATTTGGGGCATGCAAGCACATGTGCCCAGCATGATTTTCAAGCCTCCTGGTACAAGACTCAGACTATGGTGGGCCATATGGGAGTCTAGGGCCTTAACTTCTATGCCAACTGCTGGCCCCAGTCTGAGAACTTTTATTATTACTATTTTAGGGAAAAAAAAAGGCACACAGAATTAAAATAACTTGAACAAAGTTGCAAACCCAAGGAAGGGTTCATGACTTGATACTCTGCAGTAGACAGTATACTACATTATCTCTCTAATAAGTAGAACCTCCAATAGCTCTGACATTTTTTATTTTTTTATAAATATAATGACAATGTGGATAAAAATATTTGAAAAGATAAGAAACAAATTGCAAATTTAAAGTGGTTCGTTTATTAATAAGTAATAACAAATATTAAGTAGAATCTCCAATAGCTCTGACATTTTTTTTTATAAATATAATGACAATGTGGATAAAAATATTTGAAAAGATAAGAAACAAATTGCAAATTTAAAGTGGTTAGTTTATTAATAAGTAATAACAAATATGTAAATTTTTTTTTAAAAAGCATAACTCTGGGGGGGAAAAGGTTTTATTTTTTTAACTGATACAAATGAATCCTGGAAGGTAAAAGAAACGGTCACTCAAAAATGATAATGTCAGAAGTGTTAGTGTAAGATGTTTCCTTTGTCTGTTTCCTCCATTTAAAAAAAAAAAAAAAAGGCTTTTTCGAAGAGTTTGGCAAAATGAGACTAAAGCGAGTCAGAGCTGGAGTGACCTAACAGGAAACCGGGCTATTCCCAACTGTCAGTGCTCTCTGAGACAGCCTCTCAGGCTCCCTCTGCTCCCACAGGAGCAGCTTGGGTTGGATAATCCTCAATTTCTTAGCTCCTTCTTTCACTGCTAGTAAGATCAGATTGCATTTCTTTCAGTATTCTCCACTCCCCAGTTTCTTGATCTGTTTAAAAGAAGTAGAGAAGATAAATCCTCTCTCCAATATTTGGAAGGGAAAACAAAACAACCTCAACTTCGATTTGAAAAAAATCTTTCCAGGAACTTTCTTCAGAGATTTCAGCCGTGAGTACTTGGCAATATACTGTCTAGCCTGTAAAGAATAACTTTTATACGGTTTTCTTGGGGACTAAGTAGGATGCTGAGAGACAGAGAAGGGCAGAGAAGGACCACCATTTCTTCCTCTGTAACAAAAATCAATCCTTCCTTGTAAAGAAACTCAAACCGCAATGCAAAATTAAGTTCTTGGTATTTTACATGTCGTTCTTAAACAAATGTATAAACGATATTTATGATTTTAAGAACAAATCTTTTAGTTGATGTGATGTAGCCTTTTATAGTTTTAAGATTCTTTATTAATTATGCCTGGTTAATTATAATTTTTAGAAGTTTTGGTTTACTTTTAAATTTTAGTAGTAACATATAAAGAACTATAAGCAAGAGACAATCTGCCTTCTCTTTAAAGAAACTTCTTTCATTTCCATTAGTGGGTGATATTTAAAATGAGACAGAAACATTAGAACTCTTGTCATCTAAATTAAGTATTTTATGCCAGCATTAGGAAGCCTCTCTAAGGAAATATTTTACCAGTCTCCAAAGATCAAAGCTCACATTCTAAGATACCAAATAAGAATACTTACGAACAAAGCTGTATGTTGTGTAATTTTGCAAATTAAAGCAATAGATTATGTACCTATGTGATGTACTGTCATGCTCTTATTGGTTGTGGAACTATAACTTTGCTTCTGGTAGTAAAGGAAAGCACATAATATATCCGCACACTACCACAGAACTCTAATGAAACAATTATTTAATTATGGAAAAAGTTCATTGGTATAAAAAGAATTACTAAAATAACAAAGGACAAGAGATGTGCATGTGGGGAAAGAAAGAAAAGATAAACAACAGCCACACTGTGACTCAGTGCTCTGGAAATTAGTCACAAAATGACTTTGTACAATGTGAGATAACATAAACACAAAGGGCATAACCCAAGCAGGAAGCAAACAGTCCAGAGAGTCGTAGTTATGTGTATTTACATCAGAGCGGGGAGGCCATGGCAATTTTGAGATGCTGCAATGTTACTGAACCTGACAAAATCTTTCCGAATTCGTTTTAAGGATTCTTTGAAATGCATTATTCTAGTGCATGATTATTTCAAGGCATATTATACATATCTCATCTAATCCATAAACCAAACAGTAGTCTCTCTGAAAATTTATTCGAAGTATTAATTTAGAGCCTATAGGTTAACAAAATGTTGTGAAATAAATCATAAAAATCAATAGAAAGTATTAATGTAAATGTAGAGTAGCATAATACAGTAAAACATTAAAAGAAGATTAAAACCATAAAAATAATTACTATTAACATTTGATTAGTTGCTTTGGAAAATCAGATTTGTCTTCTCTAGGTGACTACAGATTCTTGTTGAGAAATTTTAATGGCTCATATACTATAATCTGGTTTTTCTCTCCATCAGGCATGCTGAATTAGCTTTTTATTTTATTTTATTTATTTTTATTTAAGGGATTTTTGGTGGCTTTAAGAAAATTCTTTGTTTATTTTTTAATTTCCTATTTACAATCTTTGTTATACATTTTTATAGAGTACCATATGATTTTTCTTTTTAATTTTTTAATTTTTTATAGTCAATCACTGTATACCTTTACAACATAGAAAATGAACTTTCTCAGCATGAATATGCTGTATGTTAGTCCAATCAAAGATATTACCATACACAGCATGGGAATGTAAATTAGTACCACATATGAGTTTCTTAAACCATGCATACATTTGTGATAATCACATCAAGGATATTACCATATTGTCAACTTCAACAACAAATATGACCTTCATTACACGGTGCACCTTTGATTTTTGCTCTACCAGTTTTTTTATTTTGTTTAGTCTTTTGAGATATGTGTATATATATATATATATATATA